CCCCCCGCCCCATAGCACGACCGCCCAACGGCTTTGTTTTTTCTTCCACAACCGCGCACACACCTTCTGACTCGAATTGGAACCCCAGGGGTGTTCTCTGGCTGATGCCTCTGCTTGTCCGCCTTGACCAGGTGCTCGAACACCCTCATGCGCTGCGTCAGCGACATGCAGTACGGCATGGCGTGCAGCAGCCTGCGGGACCGTGTACTCTGCGTCTTAACCTCGGCCAGGACCCGATTGGACTCAGCCTTCATCGATCGATCGATCAGCGAGATGCGTTTGTTTGTTCCCGGCGTCCACCGACGCATTCGCACGCAACGAGGTAACAAACACAAACGAAAGGAAACAAACATAACAATTCCCCGCGCGGACAGAGAGCAAGAAGGGAAGACGAGAGAGCTTGAGCCAAGACGACGCTGGTGCCGCAATCGATTCACGACCGAACTAACTAACCGTTGTAGTGGGGCGGGGGTTGTATGAGTGACCCGGTGCTTGTGCTAACAAGCCGGGTGTCCTCCGTGTTGAAAGAAAGGAAACAAGCATGCTCGCTGCAACACATCGTGACCGAGTAAAGCACGCCGATGCGCGCACACACACGACAAGCGCGGAGCGGCTATAATAGTAGGCCTTGAGGGTACCGCAGTAGGCTACAAAGCAGTGCCGAAGGCACGAGAACCCGTCAGCGGGGTCTTGCGTGTCTCCAGGGCTCTGCGCCAGCGTGGCATCCCACAGACACCGCGACAAAGCAAACCAACCCCGAACCACAGAAAAACACCAAGACTAAACAACACACAATACAACCTACGCCAACAACAACCAAGCACGGGACCAACATGCCATCAACCGACAGACACCGTACCGGCCGCCTAAGAGGAGCCTTTGCCTGTATTGGACACCGGCTTCTCGTCAAAGCCTTGAATTTACGCAGCCTCTAGGCCTTTACCGACACTCGGCTTATCCCAAAAGGGCTCCCACCAACAGCAGCCCGATCAAGGACCCACAGAAACTGACCCGATCGACCGACAGCATCGCACCAAACAACAAGGCCGCCACGACAGACCAGACCGTGCCCTCATCACTGTAGGGAGTCGCCTTGGTCCTCACGGGGGCTTAAAAGCGCACCCCCGGGAACCACCTAATGCAGACGGCTTCGAGGGCATATTTTTTTAGAACTTCCATCACCCGACCGCACTCGAACCCACAACAATTTCTCCGACGGAATAACAAACACATCACAAACATGTCCACCACCACCACAAACGACGGGGCACACAAAATCAATCTTCGTGACAAAAAAAATGAGGTACTTCACACACGTGTGCCGGGCAGCGAGAGCGAACGCGAAACCTACCTGAGGGACGACCCAAGCTTCCGACGGACACAAGGCTCTTCTTGAGCTCCTGACATATAGCCCCCGAAGGAGCCTCTCTGCCGCCGCAGCGAAAAACGTGCCGAAGTGGCCGGTGGAGTGGTGCATAGAGCTCTCCTTTTGTTCCTGCGGTTCAGGAGAACAGACCAAAGCACCTTCAGGGATGATTGCGAGCACCGGACAAACCGGCGCACGAGGGAGCTGGCCGAGAATGCATGAAATGACATGATTTGGTTTGGGAAGTGCTCCGAACGACAGTGATGCGGCGGCAATCGGATGGGCATCAGATGAAAAACCAAGTTTTCCGCACGACGGAAAGCGCACCAAAGCACACGCACGAGCAGCTAGCTCCCTTCTCACAGCAGGAGGACGAGGAGGAGGAGGAGGAGGAGGAGGAGGAGATCTGCGCAAAAACACTCTGCGAACCAACGACACAAGCAACACGACTCTCGCTTCTTGTGTCGATGGATGACTTGCCTGCAACTAAAACACACTTTGCACTCTCCTGAGGACCCACTTCACAGACACACGAATCACAGGAACGAGACGGAGCGAGGGACAGATGGATACCCTTGTACCAACCACCGAAAGGCCAGCCTCGATCCTGCAGCCATCCACGTACAACAAGCGGAGACCCGGACCTTTTTTCTCGTGCTCCCAGCAGAAAGCGCCAAGAGAGCAAAGGTTCACTGCGCTGTACGCTAGCCCTTGACTAGAAATCCGCCGCACACATCACCAAGACCTTGCAACGTCTATCTTCTGTTTCTCCCTCTCTTGCCTGTTCCCAGCAGAACGCGAAGAGGGGGCGTTTGAGGCCCTTGACGAGAGTCCGTACGTGGTGGAGCGGTAGAGGCTGCCCCTTCTCGTAGAGCTCGGCATCGTCGAGAACTACCAGAAGGTGGCTGAAGAGGCAGCACATCACGGCAACGGTGGAGTGAAGCCCTGCCGAAACGATCGCGAGGGTAAAAACGCGCTTGGTTGACAAGGGTTGGGGTATTGGCGTCAAATCGGGGCAAAAGAACGTCACGTCACGACAAAGAATGAGGATGTATATGTAGAGCGGTCAAGCGTGCGGCGGGATCAACCCCAGACCAACAAGGGGTCATGGGCCAAAAGCTTGGCCTCCTTCAGGTTGGGTTCAAAAATCCCTCAAAACAATGAACAGCACCACGCAGAGGCAGCAGAGACAAACCACCTTAGTTAGACACACCGGAGCCAAAAGTCGCGCGTCGCCCCCCCCCCCCGCATGCGACTCGCCAAATACTTCACGGCGCTTCGGGCTTGGTGATGCGCTCGCCTGGTTCGGTGAAAACCAGCGTGCCCCATCCCGACCTTGTAGGGATGCGAGATCAATGGTCCAATGACTACGGCATGCACTGCTATGAGTACACCCCCCCCCACCCCACCCCCCGGTGTTTGCCATCGGGGTTGGGTTTTCGTCGCTTGGCAGCGACGTTGTCAAACTAGCCCATCACTTCGTGAGCTCGGCAACCAGGTTCCGCTGTTTTTTACCTCTTTTTTTGCGGTAACCATGAACGGTGGTCGAGTAGATTACGTTGTGCGGGGTCGAGAACCCTCTCCGCGCAAGGGGGATGATCGCACCACGTTGTGTTAAAATGGTCAAGCACCCTCGAGGCAGTCACACAGTGCTTACAACTGTCTCTGGAAGTGAAAGCACCAGAACAAAAATGAAGTCATACCCAGCTGCATCCGTACGCAAGGAAGTGAGCACATGATCCCGAGCACCCCTACAATAGCAGGATGCAGCGCACCCTTCATGCGACTCGCCGAATACCTCACGGAGCTTCATGCTTGGTGATGTGAGAGCCTGGTCTGGTGAGAACACGGCGTTCTCCGTCCCGGCTTTGTAAGGATGCGAGGTCAATGGTCTAACGACTACGGCATGCACGACTATGAGTTCACCCCCCCCCACCCCCCCAGTGAGATCTACCTCCTCCCTCGGTAGACCGAACGGGCGCCGAGTCGCACAACCTCTCGAACGAAGAGCACTCGTTGAGGGCGAAGGTCCACAGCCGCGCCACGCACGGGAAGGAGAAGCAGAGCGTGCTGAGGACCCCCTGGAATAACGTAACGGTGTTCCCAGAGAATGAGTGGCGTTTCGCACACGGGGGGGGTACTCATAGTCGTGCATGCCGTAGTCGTTAGACCATTGACCTCGCATCCCTACAAAGCCGGGACGGAGCACGCCGGGTTCTCACCGGACCAGGCTCTCACATCACCAAGCGCGAAGCGCCGTGAGATATTCGGCGAGTCGCATGAAGGGTGCGCTGCATCCTGCNAAGCACTGTATAACTGCCTCGAGGGTGCTTGACCATTTTAACACAACGTGGTGCGATCACCCCCCTTGCGCGGAGTGAAGGTTCTCGACCCCGCACCAACTGATCTACTCAACCACCATGATGGTTACCGCCAAAAAAAACACCAGAGTTAAAAAAAAAAACGGTAACCTGGTTGTCGAGTTCACGAAGTGAATGGGCTTGTTTTACAACGTCGTTGCCAAGCGACGAAAA